CTGCTGCCTCTCGGGAGGAAACAGCAAAGACTGTTGCCGAGCTCCTTAAAGTAAAGGAGGATTTGTCTTCGCTGAAGGAAAAATATGACCAAAAGTCGTCTGATTTGGTCAAAGCACAGGATTCCCTGACCCAACTTCGATGTGATCATGACCAACTTCAACATCTTCATGCCTGCAATAGCAAGAGCTTAAGTGATTTCAAAATCACGTATGAGAAGGTGGAGGACGAGATGAAGGCAACACAGGGCAAGTTGAAGGAAACCAAGGCCAAGTTGAGGGAGGCTCAGGATGACGCTCAACTCTATCGGGGTGAACTTGAAAAAGCCATCACTGGTTCCTTCTATAATGCATTAAGCCAACTTCAAGTTCTGAACCCAGATTTGCTTTTGAATGTGGTTGGTTTGAATGCTCGTGCATATGTTAATGATGGTCAAATTATTATGTCGCCTTCAGTATCCCCTACCAACGACTCATGCCTTCAGATTGAAGGGAAAGTGACTGTCATTGAGGATGGTGAGGAGTTGGGCAGTCAGCCATCTAAAGTTGCTGTGAACCTGGAAGAGACTGCTGCCACCCCTTCTAAATGAAGGTCCGGGATGCCGGTTACTTTGTAATCTTCTTTTGAATTTGGGGTTCTTATGCCCCCGTTTGATTTGTTTTGAATATTACCAATTTAACTCCGGTTTTTAATTTGTTGCACTGCTTTCTGCTTTTCACATTCCGCCTTATGATTTGACATTTGCATCTCGTTTTTAGTCGAGTTTTCCCCTAGATGAAGGATCTAGGGATCTGGCCTCATTAATCGTTCATTGAACATTTCTGAAGATTGTAGTATGGCCTTGTTTTTTGACAAGTGGCCTAATGCCTTTATTAGCGAAGTTCTTAAGCAATTTTTACATTGTGAATCTTATCCGAGTTGTCCCATTGCAGTAGAGTTACTTCGGAACCGGGTATTTGCTGGGTTGTGCATCTAATTTTTACCCGAGTTTTACCCAATATGTATTGGGAATTTTTGCAACTCAGATGAATTTATTAAACTTGTGCATTTTGCGAGTTATACATTCTTGACCTGGCTGAGCTCAAAGCATTATACGGATTCTGTTTTCTGTCATATTTTATGATGCATGTTTGGTTTGACTTATCCATTCTGGTAAGCCTGTGTTAATAATAGTTTTCGTCGTTGCTGACTTAACCATTTGCTATAATTTGAATTTATAATTCAATTTATCTAAGATAAAGACAACAGTATCATATGTCCCTTTTGATTTATAGATCGAAATAAGGAGCATTTTGACTTGATCAGAGTCAGTATGACAAAGTGTGCTTGTATCTCGGATGTCGTATTGATGCATCAAAAATAAATAAGGATAAATATTTAAAAGAAAAATTCCTCATTTATTGATATCAAATTGTTTGCTACATGAATGTGCCGGCATATTCGGCTTTAGTCAAATCCCTAATAGAGGAAAAACTTTAAACAAATTACAAAATTGATGTTTGAAAGGCAGACTCCAGATTTAGCTATAGTATGTTTTTAGCTTATCCGCATTCCAAGTTCGCTTGATTGTTTTGCCTTCGACTGTTCTAGGATATAGGCTCATTTTCCGAGTTTTTCTATAACTCGATATGGTCCTTCCCAATTTGCAGCTAGCTTTCCATCTCTGGCATTCATATTTCCAATATCCGCTCTCCTGAGTACCAAGTCATTTTTATCAAAGTCTCTTGGCCTCAATTTTTTATTGTATCTGACTGCTATATGTCGCTTGGCCATTATATCCCGGCAGTGAGCTGCAACCCGAGCTTCATCAACAAGATCTAACTCGGCAGTGAGTAGCTGACTGTTCTGTTGCTCGCCTTGCTCGCTACTATTTATCTTCCTCCAAGAAGGTTCTCCAATTTATACTGGGATCTTAGCTTCGCAACCATATGTTAGCCGAAAAAGGAATTCCCCCATTGCGGTTTGGGTAGAAGTTCTATATCCCCAAAGGACAAAGTAAAGTTGTTGAACCCAGCTTTCTTTGGCATCAAACATTCGCTTTTTGAGTCCTTCCACAATTACCTTGTTTGCTGCTTCAACTTGTCCATTTGAATGTGGGTGTTCCACAGATGCAAAACGATGTTTGACTTGCAAGTCTTTCATCAAGTGTTGGAACCTTTTATCAGCCAATTGTGTTCCATTATCAGTGACCACCTCACCAGGTATCCCGAATCTGGAAACTATGTTTCGTTCGAAGAACCTTTGTACTCTTGTTGAGGTGATTGTTGTGACTGGTTCCGCTTCTATCCATTTCGTGAAGTAATCCACCACTACAATCAGCCACTTTAATTGCCCTTCTGCAGCTTTGAAAGGTCCCAGCAAATCCATTCCCCATTTAAAAAAAGGCCATGGTGCCGAGATATATTTTAACTCTTCGGGTGGTGAAAGAATTAACTTGGCATGCTTCTGGCAGCTTTCGCATCTCTTGACATGGTCTTTTGAATCTGCCTGCATTGTCGGTCAGCAGTAACCAGCTCGAAGGGCCTTTCTAGCCAAAGCTTTGCCTCCCATGTGATGGTCGTTGATTCCTTCATGTATCTCGGCCAGAACATATTATGCTTCATCCGCATTCAAGCATTTCAGCATAAGCACGTGCAACCCCTTTCTAAAGAGCTGATCATTCACAATTGTATATTGTGTCGCATCTCGGACCAACTTTCTGGATTCCAGTCGATCTTCTGGCAGTATTCCTTTCTCAAGGTATACCACTATGGGTTGTCTCCAATCACTTGCAGAGGTGATGACCATCACACAACTCGGTTTCGTTATACTTTGTTGTACCACCGTTCTGTGGTTGCCTGGGTTCTTGGTACTTGCCAATTTGGACAGAATATCAGCTCGGCAATTTTCCCCTCGAGGAATATGAGTAACCTGTACTTCATCGAAGTCAGCCATTATTTCCTGAACCTTATTCAGGTATCTCATCAGTAGAGGGCCTTTGGCCTAGTATTTTCCTTCTATCTACGAAGTTACCAACTGTGAGTCACTGAAGGCTTTCACCCTTGTAGCTCCGTGTTCTTTAGCCTGCATCAACCCGGCTATTAGGGCTTCATACTCTGCCTGATTATTCGAAGTCGGGAATCCTAAGTTCAAGTAGTGCTCTATAGTCACCCCTTCCGGGCTTTCGAGAATAATTCCTGCTCCACTTCCTTTATCATTGGAGGATCTATCTACATAGGCCTTCCATGCATCTCTGGATTTGCTATGCTCCGGGTTCATTGGTGTTAGTTCCATTATGAAGTCGGCCAAAGCTTGTGACTTGATGGCCTTCCGGATTTCGTAAGCTATGTCATATTCACTAAGCTCAATTGCCCAGTTAGTCATTCAACCGCCAGGTCCGGCTTGTGCAACACCTGCCGTATAGGCTGGGTGGTCCTGACTATTATTTGATGCCCCTGAAAATATGGCCGCAATCTTCTAGCAGTAATCAATAAAGCAAAAGCCATTTTTTCCAGCTTCTGATATCTAACCTCTGTGCCTTGCAAAGCTCTGCTGATAAAGTAAATCGGCTCCTGGCCTTTATCAGTTTCTTTGATCAGAACTGCACTTATTGCTTCCTCCCCCACAGCCAGATACAGGATCAGAATATCTCTTGGTTCCGGCTTTAAGAGCACTGGTGGAGTTGCAAGACACCTTTTGAATTTGTCGAATGCAGCTTGACCTCCGGGTTCCAGCCTTCTATTGCTTCCTTCTTTAACAGTTTAAAGAATGGGAGGGCATTCTTCGCAGATTTTGGTAAGATTCGAGATAATGCAGCTAAGCGACATGTTAGCTGCTGAACCTCCTTCTTATTCTGTGGCACCTTCATATCAAGTACCGCCTTGCACTTGTCAGGGTTGGCTTCAATCCCTCTGTGGGTTAACATGAAACCTAAAAATTTCCCTGCCGGAACTCCGAACGCACACTTTTCCGGGTTTAGGCGGATTTGATATTTCCTGAGTTTTTGAAAAGTTTGCTCAAGATCTTGGACATAGTTTGCGATATCAAAAGACTTGACAATCATATCGTCAATGTACACCTCCACATTTTTGCCCAACTGATCTTTAAACACCCTATTCATCATCCTTTGATAAGTTGCCCCTGAGTTTTTAAGCCCAAATGGCATCACATTGTAGCAGTAGTTAGCCTTTTCAGCAATAAAGGCAGCTTTTTTCTTGATCTCCTGGGTACATTAGAATCTGATTGTAACCAGAATATGCATCCATGAAAGACAACAATTGAAATCCAGCCGAATTGTCTACCAGCTGGTCTATGTTGGGCATGGGGTAGGAGTCTTTTGGGCAGACCTTGTTCAGGTCCGTATAATCGGTACAGACTCTCCACTTCCCATTTGGTTTTTTCGCCATCACCACGTTTGCCAGCCACGTTGTATATTGTATTTCTTGAATGAACCCCGCCTCTAATAATTCCTTCACGTGTTCTTCCAGGACTTGTTTCCTTTCGGGACCCAGTTTATTTTTCTTTTGAGACACCGGTGAGGATCCGGGATAGACTGCCAATTTGTGGTAGCATAAGGCAGGGTCTACCCCCGGGATCTCTGATGATCTCCATGCAAAAACATCTGTGTTGTTTTCAAGGAACCGGATCAACTCTTGCTTGATAGGAAGGTCTATGGTCTTACCAATTCGTGTAAATTGACCGGGTTCTTTCCCCAATGCAAGATCTTCCAATTCACCATCGGGCTCAGGTCTCGGGATTACTTCTTCTCTCATGTCTAGTTCAAACAAGTTGACCGACTTATTTGAGTGTTGAGGAGTTGTGTTTTTGCCGAGTTTTTGTCTCCTGGGCGAATCCGAGGTGGACACGAACGCTCGCCTTCGATTTCTTTGACTGTGTCAAAGTAGAAGCCCCTGGATTCCTTCTGATCTCCAGTAATAATGATTATTTTGTTCTTGCTACTCACCATTTTTATCTTCTGGTGCTTTGTAGAAACCAGCATGTCCCACTGGTGTATGGTTGGTCTTCACAGAATTACATTATATTCTGACAGAAAATCAGTTACGATGAATCTAACCCGTTCTAATTTGAACGCTTCTTTGGTTCCCAAGGTTAACCTGAGGTCGATGTAGCCTTTAGAGGGTGTATATTCTCCATTAAATGCTATCAGAGTCGTCTTGCAAGGTTTGAGGTCTTCCTCATCCAAGTTCATCTTTTTGAAAGCGTGCCAGAGTATGATGTCGGCACAACTCCCAACATCCACGAAGATCTTCCTAACCCGGCAATTTACCAAGGTCCCCGCAATGACTAACCCGTCCACATGTCCCGGCATCACACCCTGCCTGTCCTCTTTTGTGAAATACAAAAGGGGAGGATCCGGCTTGGTCAGGTCTTCCTTGAACTTAGGAAGGTCTCGAATGGAGAGTACCTCTTTCAAGTATTTTCTTCTGGCATTCACAGTATCTCCTCCACCCCCCAGGGATCCACTAATTACGTTACAATAAAATTTCGCTTCCAGGAATTCATCACGGTTGGAATTGTTTTTCTGATTCCTTTCCTCCTTGTTTTTCTTTTCAGGAACCAGGCTTTTACTTCTATTTTTGTTTCCCGTCTTCCTTTTGTTATTTTTGGCACCCTGGGTTTTGATGACGTATTGGCGTAGCCTTCCATCTCGAACAAATTTCTCCACAGCATCTCGGAGATCCCAGCATTGATCAGTGTTGTGCCTCGGCCCGTCATGAAAACACAGTATTGGATTTGTCCAAACCTCCTTTGTCAAATATGGACCGGGATCTTTTCACCTTCTTCATCTCCGTCATTGCCACTTCTTTCCAAATTTGAGAGTGTGGCGCATTTAATGGTGTATACTTCTCATATCTCCCTGGTACACGATTTCGGTTGTCCAGGATTCTAGCCCTGAACTCCTTTCTCTTATTGTCAATTTGTTCTTTTCCTTTCGGGGCTGGGCTTCTCCTTCTTGGGTTAATTCTTTTACCCTTTTCAGTCTGCGCATTTGCAATCTCCATCTGCTCAAGTTCGAGGTATTTCTTCGAATGGGTTCTGAACTCTTCCAACGTCCTCACTGGGTCCTTATAGACCGACTTGGCTAACCTGGATGCACCATCCAGCCCAGCCACGATGAGATGTACATGGACGTTTACTGGTAAACCCGGTACCTGTAGTGCAACATCTTTGAACCGGTTAAGGTATTTCTGGAGGTTTTCTCCGGGTTGTTGGTGTATTTTTCCCAATGCGAACTCGGACTTTGGATGCTTTTTGCTAGTTGCAAAGTTCAAAAGGAACTGTTGCCCAAATTCTTCAAAAGACCTGATGGAATTAGCATGAAGGGTTGAAAACCATGCCTGTGCTGCTCCCGTTAGGGTTATTGCAAATATCCGAGATATAAGGGGCTCATCTATTCCTCGAATGTACATGTCCGTATCGAAAGCATCGATATGGACCTGTGGATCTTGACTTCCATCATATTTCGGCAGTCGTGCCGAATCAAAGTCTTCTGGGAAGGGTGCATTCAAAATCTCCCCAGTAAAGGGGTTGTTGTTATACTGTCCTCTGCTGTATTTCCTTCTGTATTGACCGGGTTCCACTCGCCCTCTGATGTTCTGAGCATTCTGGCTGTGTTGGATTCTTTCCCGGTCTACTCCACCGTTAGGATTTGCTGAACCTCCTTGAGCCAAAGTTAGTCCAGCTGCATTTTGGCCATCCATTGGCTGGTTTTCCAAACTCGGATTCACCGTGTTCACCGGGTTTGTCTTTCATAGTTCTCCTCATCAGTAACATGGTTGCGATCACCTCCCCAGCCATTGGCATTCTGGCCTTAGTTTCTCCTTGCCCCTGGTCCGGTTACCCCTATCAAGCGTTGTTCCAAGTCTCTGATTCCCCTGGTGTTTTCCTCCCGTATCGCCCGAAAGTCCTGTTGCCGTTGCAGGTTATTACGAGTTTCCAATTCTCAATCCGCTCCATGATCGCAGCAAATACATTGTTAGCCAACCGAGTATCCGGATCGGCTAATTAGGCTATACGCGGAGCAAGATCTCCTGGGTGCTGGGAAGGGTTGTTCCTTATTGGAGCCATAATCGCATCAGCCCCCTGTCTCGACGCGCTGGAGTAGACGCGGTGTCTGAGACGTCATTCTCAACCTGGACATGGTCATAGTCCACATTGTTTCCGATCTGGTTCTGAGGCTGATTTACCTCTTCCAGGACCGGATCCAACGGTTGATTCTGGTTCTGGGGTGGCTGCTGGCTACTACTCCTTGTCTGGATTGCCATCCTTTGTCAGGTTAGTGGGGACTTCCAATTCAAAGAAGTAGAATTCTCCACAGACGGCGCCAATATTTTGTCCTTGAGACAGAGATGTCCAGCCCAATAGGCTGGTGTGTTTATCTTGGATCTGGTGCCCTCTCTAAGGTATTTATGAAGGAGATACCCTTTAGTCGAGCAGATCACTGTGCACAGAATACTATAACGGTGTTAGCCAAAGAGGGTGTGTGTGTGCGCACAGTGATAGCATAATAGTAAGAGAGAGCGTACCGTACCTTTAGGGTTTACCTTGTATTTATAGAGGTTACCTATGGGTAGCGTGGATGGACCTCCTGGACCCCTGACAGAGGCCTAGGCCTACTTGCTATGCTGTCGTATTAGGATTACTATCCTTGATGGATATCTATCCATGATTATTGCTGATTGAAATCTTGGATTGCCCCTTGTTGGGCCTATCACTTAATGGGCCCTTATATGGGTCCATAACAACAATATACAATCAAAATATATAGAGAGAATTAATGTTTCTCGTGTCATAAAAAATAACTTATCTCTTATACGGGATCTCAAAACAATATCATTTTGAGATTGATATAAATGTATTTTTGTAATTCTAATTTATTTTGAAATTGTATTAGTGTTTACCATTACAGTTTTTTCCTCCAAATTTCAAAATGATATCGTTTTGGGATAATTGGAACTAATGTTATCTCTTGTGATAAAAAAAGTAAACCCGTATATATATATATATATATATATATATATATATATATATATATATATATATATATATATATATATGAAAAAATATTTCTCCAGCCATTGTACTACATGTAGTATATATTTATAATGTTAAAGTTACTTTTTTCTCTCTTTCTCCACGTCAGCAGACAAGTTTTGAAAAATGAATAAAAAGAGAAAAAAATAACTTTAATGTTATAACTATATACTACTCGTAGTACATATTTAGAAAAGGCAGATTGAGATAAGCTTATCTTAAGTAGCTGGAGAAATGTTAACTCGTGTGTGTATGTATGTGTGCTTATTTCCTTTTTTGCATATACATACTTCAAATGTTAGGGCAGTTGCTTCATTTCCAACTCAGGTGGTTGAATCGCAGACGACTTCTTAGGATTCAACTCTGCTTCTGTTCTTTGTAAGGGCTCAAATTGACATTCCCTCCTCTCCTTCATGTTTAACTGATGTAGTTGTTCCTCACCTACTTGCTTAGCTTCCTTCTTCATCAGAGCTTTCATCTTCTTCTTCTTGCATTTCAGTGATGACAACATCTAATACTGAGACAGCAGAGTAGTCCTCCCTGTCATCATCATGAAGTTTTGTGGCTTTCATCATATTGAATTTCACCTTTTCATCATTAACCCTCATTATCAATTCTCTTTTTTGGACATGAATCACTTCTTCCCTGTTGCCAGAAACGAATTTCCTAGAATAATAGAGACATCAGTGTCAGCTTCATAATTCAAGATAATGAAATCTGTAAGTAGAATAAATTTATCCACACAAAAAGCAAATCTTTTATTTTCCCTTCAGGTTTAACTATAGACATGTTTGCCATTTGTAGGGGTTTATCTCCTATTTTCAATTGTTCAACACTAAGGATGGTATCAGATTTATAGTTGCCTTCATATCACATAGAGCTCGTCCTTTGTAGTTGTTGTCGATACTACAAGGAATTAATTGTGAAACTTTCAAGATCCTTCAACTTTGGGGGAAGTTTGCTCAGAAAAATACTACTATATTGAGTCAAAGCAACAGTCTCATATTCTTACAATCTCCTTTCCTTTTCTTTGATAAAACACCCTTCATTATTTCTCACTCCTAGTAACCAATTATGTCCTTGTCATAGTACTATCCACTTCTTTCTTGCCTTGATGTCATGATTGCGAAGATAATGGATGTCTTTTTAATTGCAAAACGTAAAAAGTACAAGCTAGTGGAATCAAAAAATACTATGGTTACACTATTTCAGCAGCGTTTCATCAGACGAAACACTTGATATGAGGCTGGAATGCAGTCCCGTCACTGCAGACTGCGACAGAACCAAGTTCAACCATGTGTGGTCAAGCCTAATATTTCATATACTTATCAAAAATAAATGTGAGATTGCTTGAAATTGTTGCTTCATAATTTTACACATTATTGATGCTTGTATTAACGGTATCAATCAATGTTATTATAAATAATAAATTAAAAAGGAGAGTTTTACAATCTAAATATTTGTGAAGGAAAAAAATTGAATATAATATTGTCACGTGATATGAATTGATTCGAACAGTCGAATTAAATTAGGTAAAAAAGTGTTTATCTCGACCGATACCAATTGAATCTCGAGTTATGAAATTTGAAAACCCTGGAACAGACTACATCCGTAGAATTTTGTTGGTCTATACTATAGTTGGGTCACAGAAGAACATAGAAAATAATGTAGATAGTGGTCAGTGTCGTTCATCTAATCCAATATCACACCAGTCTCGCCCAAATTTTGACTTTTTGACCATTCAGAGGCAAAAAGCAAAAAAGATATGCTCTATTAATGTATATGTCATAAGTTATACCAGGCTAATGCAGTCAAAATCACACGATGATCACGCGAGACAAATTCCATCATGCCATGGTTGAAATTGAGTACTCGACCTGCCACATTCTTCGTCATTGTCCGATGCACTCGCATCCTCTGCAAGAAGACGATTCTCCATTGCAATATTTTCCTCATCATCTTCCTCATAGTCCTCATCCATAACCCATGTAGGGTCATGTTCATCTTCCTCAGACATGTTAACAGCTGAAGCAGCAGATGAGAATGCATTAAGAGGAGAAGTAGAAGTAACTGACCTCATTGGTATCACAACATCCTCCGCGGTGGCAGTATCCACATACAACTCTAAGAAATCTTTTCTAGACTGGTTCAAGAACTCTTCCATTACCATATCGATGTCTTCGTCATCGACCACTTGCAAACTAATGTATTGTTCACATTGCCATAATCTTGCTGTGACTAGAGTGATCGATTGGTTGTCTTGAAGACATAATTTTTGGCGTATTTTCTGATGCAGCTCCGCAACCGTTGAGTTCCGTTTAATACGTGATGGCCTTTTCTCCCCTACAAAAACAACACCACCATGACCTTCTTCTTTCCTACCGTTAAAATATAAAACAACATGAATAATATCAGAATTCGAACTCATTCTTAAAATTAAAAAATAAACAAGTGCAAAATATCCATAAACAAGTGAAATAAACAAGTGCGAAAGAATGTGGGAGTTTAAGAATAGTGAGGGAGAAGAGTTGTGAAGAGTGTGTAGAGGGGTGGGTGTTTAAATAGACTGCATCTGTGTCACTCACGCCCAGATTGGGCAGGACCTTCCCCTGGAACACGCCTCATCTGGGCGTGTCTTCCTCATAGGTCACACCCTTAATGGGCGTGTCTCTCTCCTATGGGTCACGCCTCTCTTGGGCGTGTTCGGCCAGTAGGTCACGCCCCATATGTGCATGTCTCTCTCCATGGGAACATGCCTCATGTGGGCGTGTTTGAGTGCTATATTTTCGTAATTATTTTCAAAACGACTACATATTCGTAATTTTTTATTAAAAAAGTAATAAATTAATTTTTTTGCCCAGACATGTTTCTTAAGTTATCGCATGGTCAGTGTATATTTTTGACTGCATTAGTCCAATATAACTTATCACAAATGCTTTAATAAGATATATCTTTCTGTTTTTTTTCTCTGAACGATCAAAAAGCTCCCAAAATTTACCTTTAATGATTTTTACGGAATAAAATAATTTTGTCATACTGAATCGTTTATAAAAAAAATTCAACAAGTTATATTGCCTATTAATTTAATTTTTCTATACATTTTTTTTACAATTGAATAGTATTTAAATTAATATTTTTAAGCACACTAGATCTTATTATTTGAAAAAAAAATTGGTGTGTTTGAATATCATCCATTTAAATATTATGTAATGGTGTAAAAGTAACAACGAAGCTAAAGAAAAAAAGATTAAATTGAAAAGCATTTAGCTGATCGGATTTTTTATTAGTATGGTTAGAAAAAATTACTATAAAATTGTCTTACATAAAATCATTGTTTAAAAACTCGGCCCGACCATTGTTTCGGCCGAGGTCAGGAGTCAAAGGATCACTGATTCAACCGACGGTTCTCGGGATTACATCGCTGACCTGATTTTATATATTAAAAAAATATAAATGTAAAGAACCTTGGGATACACCACCCTAAAAGCTATCTCAAAGGGTGAGAGTGCCCAAGGCCTTATAAAGGCCACATTAGTTGCCCACACAATCAATGTGGGACTATATATCTCAATACGCCCCCTCACGCAAGAGCCCTTTGGGCTAGAAGCGTGGAATTGCACAGGCCCAATTTTTGGTTTACCTTTTGTGTTTTGTATTTTAATTCCAC